AATAATATTATACTTTTACTCAAATAATTAACTATTTCTTGACCTCTATCTCAGTCCCAGTGAAAAGATTGCACAAGGTACCATCCCGCGTAAAAGGGATTAAATTCCCTGACCAAAAAGAGACCACCGAGCGAACGTCTGAATAAACAGTGTAATAACAACCCGAACGGTCGTTTACCTGGCTTTCAGACCTAAGAGTTCGTTCGACCCGACACAAGCCTATCAATAACCTTCGATCTTCAAAACAAAATTAAAAAGAAACATTTCGAAATTATTTGTTTCTATAGCTCATAACTTCAGAAATCAATATCTCTTGAACGAAGCGTTTGCGAGCATACTCCCAGAGAAAAATTTTTTCTTGTTTTAAGGTCCAAAATTCATATTTCAAGTTTGGCCATTTAACTCGGGAACACCCTGTATATACATTAATACTATGCAGCAAAATTTCTATGAAATACTTTTATTTTAAGAAACTATAATTTTTAATAAATAATTGAAAAAATTTTGGCTACAATCACAAGTAATATGTTGCTAAAATATTTTTTTTATCTAAAGTAATCTCAACATTATCAATTTAAAAGAAATACAATTTTATTAAGAATAAAGATTGCTTATATTTTTGTGCACAATCTTATTGTAATATATATAATATATATATAAATACCATATATATGTGGAATCATTACTATTACCTATATACATATTTGAGGGTTTTAACAAGATTAAATGCACAAGTCAATGCGATGGTGTCGTTTCTATCTGAATAATCAGAAAGCGTGACAAAGAGGCTAGATTATATATCCTATTGGGCGCTTGGAAACGGTGCTTAAGCCTTTAAGAGGGCGTCGAAGCCGAGTGTCGTTCCGAGAACGCGAGGGTTGCCCACCCCAATAATAAAATGATAAAGACCTTTTTCGTCTTTCCATCGCTCGGCCGAACTTTCTCTGGGGCGGACCCCAGATTCGCGTATATAAATGCCGATATTATTGTAACGAAACGCTCTTCATGCCGATTTTCTCGTAGCGTGCGCTCATCCGTAGTACGTACACATAGCCGCTTATATGTCGAAATTGTCCTGGCAAAGGCCGGCATCGCACGTATAGCCACGATTATTATCGCGTACGCAGACGGTAGGTATCCGTGGGATATCGAATCAAACGATGGAACTGATCTCCAGCGGTAGAAATCGATTTCCTATTTACAACCACCCACCCTCCTTTTCCGCCCTTCCCCCCTCCTTCCTCCCCCTTTCCACTCGCATTTCCGATCTGTACGCGTCGCAGCGATGGATACGATATATCGCGGAACAGAGGTAGAGCTCTGCAAAATAGAGCTTTCGTCGAAACATCTCTCTTCTATCAAATTCTCGGAAAGATACGATCATGTTTGAATCGCATATTTTTGCATTTGAGGATAATCAAAACAAGTATTTTGTTTACATGATGCTGATGGACTATGGACGATGAATGCTAATTAACTATGGACTAATGATCAATTAATTGAACGTGTGTAGCTATATGGAATATCTTTGATTATGACCATTCTTACTCAAAAAGATTCAATGAATGAAAACGACGACAGTGGTGATGACAGCAATGACGGCGAATTGAGAAACATCAAACCTTTATGTATATAAAAATTTATTTTAAATTTGGCAAAGAGAAATCTATACACACACATTTCCTGTTCTTTTATATATATATTTTTAAATATCTATTTCCTTTTCGTGAAATTTTGAATTATTTAAATTGTTGACATAAATATTTAATTATGACATAAATTGATGAGATATATAATTGATGACATAATTAATTTGTTGAGATAATTGTGTCCAATTATTATCTGCAGATCATAAAGCTAATACAGTAGTAATTTGTTCACCATCACTACTACATCAATAGTATAAAAAAGTAGAGAATAGATGCAAATGCAGTCTGTTGTCCGTCGAGATATATCATGGCAGTAATCGAGAGTGTTCCGGAACGTTTGTCAAAAAATAATATTGTGTTATAACTACATACAATATATTATTGCAAAAATATAAAACAATACATACATTATATAAGGTACATTGAGACTTGAAAGTATCATTTAATTAATGAATAGGCAAGGATAAAAACTTTAAATTTAGAGATCTATTCTGAGTTTTAATCGCAATTGTAAATTTTTTGCAAATAACAGGAAAAGGATAATATTCGATGAAACTCAAATAATAAGAAATTATTAAAGCCAAATGGCATTAACAGTTTGCGAGTTAAGAGCAAATGAACGATGGGCTCTGTCACTTTCTCTGGCACATCTATACAAAATAAAATATCAGAGATATATTCTCTATTTTAAAATTTTTTAAACGCTCTTCATTTGACGATATAAATATTTGGAAACAATGGACAGATAACAAAAAATACCAGATCATAAAATTATAGCAACCATAACGGATATGTTAATGCTACGAAAAATTAAGCAAGAACTAATAGAAAAAGGCGATTTCAAAATTTTACCTGAGAAATCGATTGTGAGGAAGTGATAATGAAACTCAATCCACATGAACAATTGTACAAGAAAAATTTTAACTTACTCCAGTACTTTGCAGTTTTTAGCTCAAAAAACCGAGAAGGAACATACATTTGCGTATCTTTCAAATCCAAGCAAAATAAATTATTGAATTTAAAATAAACTATACTATATTTATATGTATAATCACTAAAAATGTATGGATACATTTTATGCGTACAATAATTACCTGTTTCTTGTTTTCCTATTTTAAGACAAAGACCTATTCATAGTCCATTTTTATATAATTAAGATTGTCTCAAATAAAATTTGAAAAAAGTATACGACCGTTTTATTGACTAGATGCAATCTGAAGAGGACTTAAAACCATACTTAAGATGATCTTTAAGTATATGATCTTTAAGAACGGACTACGAATATAGGCCAGAAACACAGTTCATATAGAAGCTTAAAATAAATTACTAGCGATGGATACCGATACCAAAAAAGCACGAAATCTTAATGCTTTTATTACGATTACGACAATTATACTGTCATCCTTCATTAGTACACACGATGTTGGATAAAGATGTCGTAAAGCAAAGTGGCATATAGATGCGGATAATATTGAGCTTGAATTATTGTCACGAGTGAATAATATACCGATTCTATTAATAACATTGTGTGAATTAATATTGGATAACACCATAACTGCCGTAACTGTAATAAAAGCTTAGGTGCTTTTTTACACCGGCATCCATCGCTAGTTTTCTGGCAATTATTTGTCAGGCTGAAGAGATGTAAATGTCCTATACAGATATGTCAGCTTCTGCCGTGAATAGATGATGATGAATTGTTAAGTGTGTCTGGACACTGGTGGGCACTCCACTCTACATACATCCCTGTTTCTTACAATATTGAGCAGAGGAAAAATACGGGTGCGCGGAGTCCCAATCGGGACTCGATCTTAGGATCTTTCTCTTACGAACTGGTACTTGCCACTGATAATAAGCCATACATTACTCCATACAACCGTATTCCTTCTGCTCGGTGTTATCTGTTTCTATTTATTTTTTACAATATATATATATAATCTATTTAATAAGTAATATACAAACTAAAGACTTTTCTATAATTTTTTTTTTTTATTTTATCGGCAAGAAACAAGTATTTTTTTAGTTTATCACAAAAATTTAGTTATATTTTATACTAAAAAGATGTTAGGGAAAGGAAAAGAAAAGAGGGAGGAGAAAGAGAGAGAGAGAGATAGGGGAGAGAGAGAGAGAGAGAGAGAGAGAGAGAGAGAGGAAGAGACAAAGAAAAATATTTCTCGGATTGACACACGTTCCATAAATTAATTCTCATGAAAAATTCTAATCTCTTTCTCTCTTTCTTTTAATCTATATCGAGATTACGCACAAAGATAACACATATTTTTTGTATAATTAGCTGCAAAATCTATTTGAATTTAAGACTTGAACCTCTATTAAAAAAATTAATAAAATGCACATCGAATGCCGCGTGACCATAAAGTTTTCTATTTAAATATTAAATATTTTTGTTTATCCCTTTTTTCTGAGTTAGATCAGATAAGCTTTGATAACAATTTTATATATGGATGTCATGTAACGCAAAAATATCTTATATGCATGTTATACTCACACTACATACATATATGTTTAAATATATTATGTTCATGACGACTCTATTTTACAGAGTATGCGATGAATGATCTAGATACATATGATATGTTTGTATATATTTAATTCAATATGTTACACATTTATTGAACTTTAAATAATGCTTATAGGATTTTTTTTTATGTTAAGCTAATGTCTACATATGTTTTAACACATTATCAGTATATAATTTTAGAATAGATAACCCATTAGTCACGCGACAAGCAACATGCATCGCCAGCCGGTTTGTTCATCTTTCACACTAAGTTCTTACGATCAGTAATGTTTTTTTCTCCAAAGAGAAAAAAAAGATTCAGACAGAGATAAAACAATATCGTTAAATGGAAAAATGGATACACTATCGATCGCAGAATTGATAGAAGATGAACAAGTCAGCCTTAAATTGTTAACAGTTATCGATCCAGGAGACCGAATTTCTTTTTTCATAGATTTCGCAGAAACCATTATTTTTTCGCGCTTTGTATATTCTTCGCTCTTTATTTATCCTTGTTTTTATTATTTTTTATGAATCTTGGGTTTTACAATCATTCTGCTCATTCATAAAAATTTACATAAAGTCGTGGATCATTTATGTATGTAAACTGTATTAATTATTAATTTATGGATATTTTAAGGTAACACAATTTTTCTATGTTTTTTAGTAAAAGCAATTTTTACACTTATATAAATCGATATTTCATATATATTAAATCTTTCATTTTTAATTTGAGCCAACGGTTAGCTCTGATTGAAAAAATTATTTAATATCTAAAAATTTGGCTAATGTAAATTGTTTTTTTTTTGTTTATTTAATTTTGTAAACATTTTATGTATTAAAGAGAGGAAAAGAAAGAGAAAAGGGGTAAATAAAGAAAAAAGTGTGTGTGAGAGAGAGAGAATAATGACTAATATTGTGTTACTTGTGTTTACATGTTATTTGCTCAATATTATAATGCCGGCGTTTTCGTTGTCTTTGTCTTTTTCTTTTTCTTTAGCTCGCAGTCACTGTCCTTAAATAAATTGCAAGGATTCTTCTCCAGAAGACAATAATGTATGTCCTCTGGACACGGATATTGCTTCTTCAACGGACATGGTTGCATCAGGGTTGGTTTAGGAACTACTTTCATCTCATAACATGGACACGCGCCAGGATGCACTTTACGTGGCGGTGGACAAGGACAAAGAATTATGGGTTCATACGGCGGTTTTGGCAATGGTGGTGGAGAGCAAACCTGTTTCTTCTGGAAGTTGGTCTTCTTAATCTCTGGATGAGATGCATCATCCTTTTTGAAGTGTTCCGATGTTGACGGACACGGATTAGGTCTCGTAAACTTCGGTGGCGGACACGTTACCTTGACATACTCCATCTTTGGTGGTGGGACGGTATGAGGCCATTCGCATTTGCCTCTCGCAAGGCAATCTTTTTTACATACAGGATCTACAATCTTTTGCTCTGTCTCCGGTTTTGGTTTAGCTATTGCTTTATTTTCCTTTGGCGTTTGTTGGCGTTTGTCGCACTTGACTTTCTTTTGATAGCAACCGTCACTCTTTTCATTGCAAGATTGGGCGCTCTGATCGGTTTTCTTCACTTCGGTTGATTGACAAATTTCATCTATCTTTTTGCAACCAAAAGATTTGTCAGAATTTGAATCGGCAAGACAGAATGAAATAATATGAAATCCTCGTCTATGAACTCTATGCAAAGAAATCAGAGAAGAAGGACTGTGATGAGTTAATATCTCTTTGTTCTTTCGTAATTCCAAAGAGTTAAGCTTTGAATATTTGAATGACGAAGGCGATGGTAACTTCAAGTTTTTTAGCGATAATAGACACTTGTTGTAAATTTTCAGAGATTGCGATTTCTTGATGGGTTTCGGATGTACAACGAGATAGGGCGGAGAACATGGAGAATTCAACATGTTCTGACATTTTAAATTGATTGATTCATGATGACAAGGTACGGACAGTAAAATACATGTTGTTGGCGGACACGATTTGAAAGATGGTAGACAAGAAGATGAGGATGCTATCATTGAATAACAAAGTGGTCTTGCTGCTGGTGATTTCCTTAAAAAGAGCTGCTTACATTCTGTCATGACTAAATGCTTTGAAAAATGTCTTTTTGATTCCTCGCAAATTTTATCTAATGTTTTATGCACTATAAAGATATTTTTGGACCTGTTCATGCAAGAACTAAAACCTCTTATACAAATCAATCTTGAATTAGGTATCTTCATCGACAATTCACTGTTCCATCGATTAGAGCTTAATTTTTCTGTTCCCAAGACAGGCTGCAGCTTCAAATTGCATCCAGTTTTCAAACTAAAATATTTCTCCAGCACTCCAATAGAAGGTCTCAATAGGCGTTTCAAGAATGCTTCTACTTGTTTCAATTTTAGCTTCTTAACAGCCTACAGAGTTCAGAAAAAGAAATAAAGAATGAGAGATATATATTTTTATTATTTTTCTAGGAATAATAATAGTAAAATTCTCAGTTTTCAGTAGATAACATTTACGGTAACCGCTAATGCCTCCACGTACCCTCTGTCTCTTATTGACGCGATTCAGCATTTGTCATTCTTGCACGGTTTCTTGGGTGGGCATTTTACACAAAATGGCTTTCTTTTGGGTTTCGGTTTCGAGGGATAGCCCGGTGGCTCACTAGGTTGACAGGGGCCCTTGGGTGGATCGCATGGATTCCTTTTTAGTGGACTAGGTAAATCCTCGCCACAGTCTGATTCACCCAACCGCAGTTTCTTGCCAGTGGCTGCCTATTAGGTTTTACGTATTAAAGTAGAGGATTGTTGTATGCTTCCTTATTACTCCCCCGCTAGTTTCGACCAATTTTGGCCCACCTCCCTCCTTTAAAGAATTTAGCGTTTAAAACAAAAGCGCTTGTATATCCTTGTATAAAAACGTAAAAATAATGACATGAATGATTCAACAAAGGTAAAACTCATAAATAATATTAGACGAAGCTAGAATCCAGTTTAATACTAATGTAGGGATCTTCAGATTTATAAAACCAGATGGATTCGTCGATTCAGTATTATAATTTTTGTTGATAATTTTCATTTGCTTCTTCTCATCTCTAAGCTTCATTGTATTGTGTTTGGGACGGTGAAAGGCTCGGCTCTCGAATTACGTTACTTTTTCAATTAAAAGTTGAAAATTTTTAAACAGTATTTTTATTGCTCTTCATCATCAATATTGTTTTTTTCAGTCCCTGTCGATTTAGTATTTAAAAAATGTACATGCGTGTGACAAATCTTGTCAATGGTCCCCGGTTGACGTTTTTGTTGTTTTCGAACATTAATATCGTTGAGTCAAAATTGTTATATTTATCATTAGAATGCGATGATTTCTTGCTAAAAGTTCTTTTTTCTGCCAGTTGCTGGTCATCTGTACCGATTTCGTCTTCATATTCTTCACCTTGCGGAAAGTAATCATCATTGCCCGGTCTATCACTATACGATAACTTTGATTCCTCAAAATGATGATCGTCACAGCGATGAAAATTGGTAGCAAGCTTATGTAGAGAGAAGAAAAATTAAAATAATTTTTATCATCAATTGTTAAGATCTTGCTAAAAATCTTTGATGAAATTGATTCCCATAAACTGTTCGTGTGAAAAGATGCTCCACAAAGAATCTTTATCGTCTCGAGTCTCATTAAATTCTATCAATTTCCCGTCGCAGATTGCAATAAACTTGATGTCTCTCTTTTCTATGGAGAGACAATAACAAGTGAAATTCATGTTTACTCGTTATTTATGTTTAGTATGTGCTATATACTTATAAGATTTCTAGCGGTTTAAAGTAGTCTGTTTCGATGAAAAAAGAGGCAGAAGGGAGGTGGAGCCACAGCGATCAATTTTTCAAAGCATTTCTGCAATTTTCTAATTTTATCTTTTTTTATATTCTATTATCATATAATTTCTTGAAATTAATCATGCAATTTTATGAGAAATAAAGAATACATACAGGGTGGACCATTTTAATCAATCCACGCGAATATCTCGAAAACTGAGCCAGATAGACAAAAATGTTTTAGACAAAAGTTGCATGGTTTCGACAAAAGTATTACGGTAAGATTATCGAAAACTAAATATTTTACGAGATATTTTATTTTTTATATCAAAATATGTCAGATTAAGATATAAAATAACTCAAAAAGTATTTCATGAAAAAATACTTTATTATAGTGTTTTGAAAAGCTCTCGAAAGCTACAAGAATATGCAATAAAAAATGGGGGTTTCCATTTAAGAAAACATCGATCACATTAACCTCACCTTGAAAAGATCACTCAAGGTCAAGTCTATATTTTTATCATGTGGCCCCCTCGAAACCATGCAACTTTTGTCGGAAACATTTTTATCTATCGGGCTCAGTTTTCGAGATATTCGCGTGGATTGATTAAAATGGTCCACCCTGTATAAATTAAAATGTATTAAATATATCATTCTCTCTCTATATTGACATTTATGTTCATATTTTTCCTATTATATAATTTATATTAATATCTTTTTTCTATATTTCTTTTTAATAATTTGGTCATGGAATGATATATAATGTCTGAGAATCAAATCACGTTAAAAAATGAAATAATAAATGCCCTAAAAACTTACTTTAATTGTTCCAGATTCTCGAATCTTACCAGCCAAACTTTCTTGTTTCGTCTGTAACTGTAACGAGCAAAACGAATATAACATAATACAAACGCTTGGTTAATAGAATTAATTTCATATTTAAAATACTATAATAAAAAAATATGCACAGTTTTGCAAATACATTTTATATTATTCATAAAATTTACAAGAGAATGCCATGATATTTTACAGATTTAATATTAGTGTTTTCTTTTTGATTATCATAAAATAATTCACATTTATTGAGATTGTATAAATTCGCTAAAATCAATTTTTTCCTAAATGCTTTATTTTGAATTAATAGAGACTTTAATAAGATATTTAACATTTGCTGAAAAGTGTTTTCAATTTGCAGTGTTTAATAATTTATTTATTTTTTCAAAAAATATTTTTAACAGCTTTTTTTAGTTTTTTCGTCTTCTGAACATCCTGGAGCCTTTTTTACAGNNCTTTCTTCTTGTCACATGGTTCAACTTTCTTAATTTCTGAACAATCAGGTTTCTTGATCTCTTCTTTCTTCTCTTTCTTACATACATCTTTTTCCTGCACATCATTAAAAATTCGCTCTTGCTCCATGTAATGCTCGTTCTTGAAAAGATCTTCTATTTTTCTAGAAATATCATTTTTTTCTTCCTTTTCACATGGTTTAACTTTCTTAATTTCCAAACAATCAGACTTCTTGATCTCTTCTTTCTTCTCTTTCTTACAGAGATCTTTTTCCTGCCGCTTAGAAGTTTGCTTCATGCAATGCTGTCTCTTATAAAGATCCTTCTTTGTTCCACAAGTATCACTTTTTTTCTGTTTACATGGATCTTCTTGAGACTTTATTTTGCGAGTTTTATGACAATCGCGAGAACTTTTTTCCCTCTTGCAAGAAACTACTTTTTGCTTTCCACATGTTTGTTTTTCCCTCTTAGAGCAATCTTTCCCTTTTTTCCCACACATATTTTCTTTTTTCTGACACTTTTTCTCCGATGTTGTACAAGATCTCTCTCTTTTCTTACATATATCATCTTTGCCTATTTTTTTAAGAGATTTCTTGTGCTGCGCACAAAACGCCTGTATCTTTTGCCGAATGTTAGCTTTCGATCCGCAGTCTTTTGATCCAAAGAGAATTATATTATTGGAAATTATGTCGGAAACCGGGATCTTTTCATTCTCCGAGCAATATAAATCCAACGTATCTGTCAAATACGATCGAATTTTAGCATGTGCGTCTGTGAATATAGATTTGATTTTGAAGAATATTTGCTGAATCCAATTTTCTTCTTCAGTGATAATTAACGTATCGCTCGTCGTTCTCTTGCTGTTGCTATTGGATGCGACTATTTCATGGTTGTTTTTACCTTTATGATTTATAAAATTTAATGAAGACGAAGAAAATTTCCTCATCAATCCTTTTGCCAACTTTCTATTATAGTTTAACAAAGATGCCGGCGACATTTGATGATTATTCTCTTTTGCAATGGGAACATTCCAAGATGAATTGTTGATTTCCCTTTTCTCGATCGATTGATACATCTTCGAGATTTTCGCTTGCGAAATGAGGTTTACATCGTGAAATGGGGGATACATCAAGACGGGTAACCACTTGCGAATCACGGCAGTTGAGTAATCTCTTTGCCAGGTTTTCATACTGCTAGGACCCATCTCATTCAAGATTCTCGCATAAGGATGCATCCTGCTGCATGCGTTGCTCGCCTGAAGAGAGATGATTTCAAGGTCAGTTCCCCCAGGTCCTTCATAAGTCAATATATCTTCAGCGTCGATTAATTCTATTTGTAGATTCGATAATTTTATTTCACAGCCTATATCTCATTGCAATTTAGATAGAAACATCAAACCGTTATTCTCAAAATTTATCTGTTAATGATGAAAGAATTTAAAAACTATGAAGAAATCGTAATCTTAATTATTTTTAATGTCTTTTTTTCCTAGTTGTTTTCCTTAAAAAACTTATCCAAAATGTCGATTGTGATGCTCATAAATTTTAAATATAACTTTGTTATTTGTTACAATTATATTTTAAATAATCTCGGATAACGCTACTATACTGCGTTCACGGAGAGAACGACCTCGCTTTTCGTCCGGTTTGGTCAAATCCTGCCCGACCGACCGCCCATTTTGCCCCCTCCACGCTGCCAAAATTGGTCTTGCAGCTTGCAGATCTGGCTAGCCAACAGAGGGGACCCTATTTATTTATAATAGTATTAAATTTTATTAATAATTTTTAGATTGCAAAAAGAGAAAATAAATATAATAGATATATCGCGATTTAATTAAAAAGAGTAATAAAAATCGATTAACAGAAAACAACTCAAGCTTTCAATATTATGACATTTCTTTCGAGCTTTATAGGCGGATCACATACGTGATACACGATCGATACGCATACGACATACAGCATTGAAGTAGCGCGCTGAAGTCTCTCACCTAATCCCCACTCCGCCCAAAGCTGCGCGAAGCGAGGTTGTTCTCTCCGTGAACGCAGTATAGTAACGTTATCCGAGATTATTTAAAATATAATTGTAACAAATAACAAAGTTATATTTAAAATTTATGAGCATCACAATCGACATTTTGGATAAGTTTTTTAAGGAAAACAACTAGGAAAAAAAGACATTAAAAATAATTAAGATTACGATTTCTTCATAGTTGTTAAATTCTTTCATCATTAACAGATAAATTTTGAGAATAACGGTTTGATGTTTCTATCTAAATTGCAATGAGATATAGGCTGTGAAATAAAATTATCGAATCTACAAATAGAATTAATCGACGCTGAAGATATATTGACTTATGAAGGACCTGGGGGAACTGACCTTGAAATCATCTCTCTTCAGGCGAGCAACGCATGCAGCAGGATGCATCCTTATGCGAGAATCTTGAATGAGATGGGTCCTAGCAGTATGAAAACCTGGCAAAGAGATTACTCAACTGCCGTGATTCGCAAGTGGTTACCCGTCTTGATGTATCCCCCATTTCACGATGTAAACCTCATTTCGCAAGCGAAAATCTCGAAGATGTATCAATCGATCGAGAAAAGGGAAATCAACAATTCATCTTGGAATGTTCCCATTGCAAAAGAGAATAATCATCAAATGTCGCCGGCATCTTTGTTAAACTATAATAGAAAGTTGGCAAAAGGATTGATGAGGAAATTTTCTTCGTCTTCATTAAATTTTATAAATCATAAAGGTAAAAACAACCATGAAATAGTCGCATCCAATAGCAACAGCAAGAGAACGACGAGCGATACGTTAATTATCACTGAAGAAGAAAATTGGATTCAGCAAATATTCTTCAAAATCAAATCTATATTCACAGACGCACATGCTAAAATTCGATCGTATTTGACAGATACGTTGGATTTATATTGCTCGGAGAATGAAAAGATCCCGGTTTCCGACATAATTTCCAATAATATAATTCTCTTTGGATCAAAAGACTGCGGATCGAAAGCTAACATTCGGCAAAAGATACAGGCGTTTTGTGCGCAGCACAAGAAATCTCTTAAAAAAATAGGCAAAGATGATATATGTAAGAAAAGAGAGAGATCTTGTACAACATCGGAGAAAAAGTGTCAGAAAAAAGAAAATATGTGTGGGAAAAAAGGGAAAGATTGCTCTAAGAGGGAAAAACAAACATGTGGAAAGCAAAAAGTAGTTTCTTGCAAGAGGGAAAAAAGTTCTCGCGATTGTCATAAAACTCGCAAAATAAAGTCTCAAGAAGATCCATGTAAACAGAAAAAAAGTGATACTTGTGGAACAAAGAAGGATCTTTATAAGAGACAGCATTGCATGAAGCAAACTTCTAAGCGGCAGGAAAAAGATCTCTGTAAGAAAGAGAAGAAAGAAGAGATCAAGAAGTCTGATTGTTTGGAAATTAAGAAAGTTAAACCATGTGAAAAGGAAGAAAAAAATGATATTTCTAGAAAAATAGAAGATCTTTTCAAGAACGAGCATTACATGGAGCAAGAGCGAATTTTTAATGATGTGCAGGAAAAAGATGTATGTAAGAAAGAGAAGAAAGAAGAGATCAAGAAGTCTGATTGTTTGGAAATTAAGAAAGTTAAACCATGTGAAAAGGAAGAAAAAAATGATATTTCTAGAAAAATAGAAGATCTTTTCAAGAACGAGCATTACATGGAGCAAGAGCGAATTTTTAATGATGTGCAGGAAAAAGATGTATGTAAGAAAGAGAAGAAAGAAGAGATCAAGAAGTCTGATTGTTTGGAAATTAAGAAAGTTAAACCATGTGAAAAGGAAGAAAAAAATGATATTTCTAGAAAAATAGAAGATCTTTTCAAGAACGAGCATTACATGGAGCAAGAGCGAATTTTTAATGATGTGCAGGAAAAAGATGTATGTAAGAAAGAGAAGAAAGAAGAGATCAAGAAGTCTGATTGTTTGGAAATTAAGAAAGTTAAACCATGTGAAAAGGAAGAAAAAAATGATATTTCTAGAAAAATAGAAGATCTTTTCAAGAACGAGCATTACATGGAGCAAGAGCGAATTTTTAATGATGTGCAGGAAAAAGATGTATGTAAGAAAGAGAAGAAAGAAGAGATCAAGAAACCTGATTGTTCAGAAATTAAGAAAGTTGAACCATGTGACAAGAAGAA